TTTATGCATATATTCTTGAAAACTGAGAAATAAATAAAATACTCTGCATTTGACTTCTTCTATTTCTTTTTAACAAACAATGCGCATTTTTCTCTTTAAAAATTCAATTTGTTTTTTTTTTTTTTTGTTGTTGTTTTTGTTAATTTTTTTTTTTTTTTTAAATAACTTTTAATGATTTTTTTTTTATTTGCTTTTGTTATGGTTAACTTTTTTTTCTTGAAATTGACGTAACAAATCCTGGAAAATTATCTTAATAAAAATTTTTTTATTTGTATATGTTCCTTAAAAATTAATTAAAGAAAAGATGTGCTTTAAAAATGTGAAAAACTTAAAGCTGTATCTTGTAGAAAACTATAAAAACTCATCCTTCAAATCAAAACATAGCCTGGGCATGACAGCCCAGATTGAGCCTTGGCCCTCTAAAAATTTCGCTATAAAGTTCTCTTGGTTACCAGATCTTGCTGGTCATTCTATAAATGTAGAAAGTTAAATATCTGACCTCCATTATCTGTACTTTTTTTTCATTCTTTTAAACAATTGCTGAACATCCTTAATCTTTTTTTTTTTTCTAAATATTTTGTTAAATTTTTTACAGGATCTATTAATTATCTTTGTTTTTATTTTAGTCTCTGTATCATAGAAGTAATTATATTTTAAATGATTTGTTTATCACTTTAATTACTTATTAAAAACAATAAAGTTGTTCTGAAAGAAGTACATTTGTTTTATAGTTGCATTATTTTTGAATTTGAGTTTCTTATACTTACAATGTTATCTTCTATGTATCTCAATGTTATCTTCATAATAAATGTCTAAAAATGGTTATTTTTCTAATTTTGTTTTACTATAACAAGATTGAAAAGCTTAAATAAAAAGTTTCAATAATTAATAACTGACATAAATCCTCTAATTCATAATTCCAGTATTGAAGAAAAAAAATTGGGTTTTAATCATTGCTTATTTAAAAAAATAACTTTTATGGTTAATAAATTTGTAATATTCTTACCTTTTAAGGATGATATTCTAAATTTACATAAAAGCATATCCAATTAACATGAATGTGTTGTATTTGAAGAAGGCTTTGAACTAATAATTCAAATTAAGAATGTGACAGAATTTGTTATAGATTGGAAGCAATTATAATTCCTTTTTAATATTTAATACTGACTTAAGATTTTTTAAAATTTGCTAAGAAATATTCAAACATTTATCTGTTACTCTTCTATGAAATTAAAATATTATAACTTTGCAATACCATTTAAAAATTATTTCTCTTTTAGTGTATGTGTTACTGTCACTAAACCCAACCCAGGTAATAAAAGAACTTTCAAGAAATTGTTATTCCATTGTATTATAGTTGTGATTCATAGTGTTTTTTTTTATGTTTTTGGATAATAAATTTACAGAATGCTTCATTTCATACTTCAGTTGACTTTTTTTTCCCTTTGTCTCCTATGTTTAAATTTGTCCTCTTTAGAATTCTGCTAGCAGTCAAATGGTTTAGTGCTTTTAAGCATTTAAAAATGTTAATTTGCTGCTATGAAATTCGTTTTTTTTTTCCCTTCCCCTTTGATCATAAAACTTGTTCCTGATTAATAATAATAATAAGTTAATTTCTAATGAATGAAGAAAATAATTAAATGAAAAAAAGCTCTCGTTTAGATAAATTAGGGTTTCTTATTTAGTTTTTATTATATGTTTGAGTAGACTGGCTAATATTAGAGAATTTAGTGTAAAATATATATATATTGATTGGCATTTTAGTGAATTTAGGGTCAACTTTAAAAATTATAGGCATGGAAGGAAGAAGTTAATAAATATTTTTTCCTATTCAAAACTGTTTTTAAGACTTGGCAGAGATAAAGTTCTGAACATACAAGCTTGCCCTTTTCTATAACATTTAAAACTCAAAATTTTGATTATTTCAAAATATCACTATATAACCATAAATTATAAATTTCACTATTTTGGTGATTTTATTATTATTATTCCTCTTCTAGTTAAATGCACAATGCTAAAGCACTAATGTAAATGTTAAAGCTTAAGTACATAGTGTGTGTACACTAAAATAATGAAATAAACTTTTAAATATGTGTTAATCTTAAAGGTAACTTTTGCAAGTTTGTGACTTAGAGATTAGAGATATTGATGATATTCTCCCATATTACTCTTCAACTGGTGTTCATTTTCCTAACTTGTCTTGTCATAGCTACATAGCAATTTAATTTGTATCTTTAAAAGAAAAATAATTTACCTTAAGTTTGATCTCCTTACAAATTTTTTGTTAAAATTGTTTACTGTGTCTTAAATTCTTTGAAATTTGTGTTATCTAGTCTTTTATAAAATTTACTTGACATATTTAACTATATTGATATATAATTTAAATTCTTCATATCTTTTAATAAGTTCTCTACTCATTTTAACCTGCCTAATCTTTGTTTCTTTTTTTCTGTTTTTTCTTTTTCTAGACCCTTCACTTTCACCAAACAGATCTAGAATGGAATGCCAAATCTATTCTTGCACTCATTGTCTGTACACAACTCCATATAAAGGGAATTTAAAAGTACATATGGTGGTTCACACGAAAGCTCGTCCCTATGTTTGTAATGTGTGTAATAAGTCCTTTTCCCAAAAAGGAAATTTGAAAGTTCACATGCGTTTGCATACTGGTGAACATCCCTATCAGTGTGACATATGCAAAGAATCATTCAAACAAAGAACTGCTCTTATTTTTCACCATGTTCATAATCATAATAAAAGTGATTAACAATTTTAAAAAAAAAAATTTAAATCAAAATTTTCATTCTGATTATGTTTTGCAATTGCTAGACTAATATTTTTTTTTTTAAGTAATCCATTCCAAAACCTTTTTTTTTATCGATGTGTTTTAAAAATGTAGTTAAAATATTTTGTTAGTTTTTTTTTCATAACAGATGATTTTTTTTTTCATAACAGATTTTTTTTCCTAGCATCTAAAAATTTGTGCTTTAGGTACATCTGAATGAGGCATAACACCGTCTTATTTTGAATGATTTTAAATAATTTTATATTTTGTAACTGGAATAAGTTCTGAAATCTTTTTTAATCATATCCTATAAAAGAAGTTTAGTTAATCTTTGTAAATATTCGGAATATATGTTCTTATTTTAAACACAAAGCTAGTCTACGGTCATTGCAGATAATGTAGTTGCGAAGTTTTAGCACTGGTATGACCTGAATGTTTGCTTAAAAGAAATAGTTCTCCAATAAAAATTTTCACATAGCATAAATTCAGTAGCTATCAAAAATGTTACTTCCTAAGAAATATATTCTTAAGATCTTCGAATGTTTACGTAAAATTTATATGGGTGTTATCATTCTTACATGGCTAAGCAACTGTTTTTCAGGGCTCTTATCTTTTAGCTGCCAAAGCAGGATTGCCTCAGAATTTTGATTCATGTTAGATGTACATGGGCATCTCTTGAGCTGGTACCTTTCTGTCCAACCTTCCACCGAAAACTCAACCACAACAGATTTACATGCATTTTGCAACATATACTTACATGCCAGTTGCATAACCTGTACGATTAAACTCGGGGGGCCCCATATTTTTATCTGAGCTGTGAGTGATGCCCTAACTGACTCTACCACCGGAACACCCTATTCAGGTAGATATGTTTTTGTATGAAGCTAAAACTGACATATACTTACAACCCTGGTAGCAAAAACCCTCCAGCACGGCAGGGAATTTTGCAGATTATTACACCATCTGCAGATTATTATAGCATCTGCAGACTTTTCATCTTTGTTTTCTTTTTAGTTTTTAAGAAGCAAGCAGACGTGGGGAAATTTCTGAGGTTCTATTTTAAAACTATTTTTAAAAAAATTGAGATTACCTCAGAAAAACAAAAAGCAAAGAAATTTTTTCTCTTGATAAAAAATCTAACTGTATAGACATTTATTACCTTTTTTTAGTATTGCATGTAATTCTATTTGAATTTAAACAACAAAAATTTTTATGCCTAATTTTTAAGAACCTTTTATGTTGACAAATTTTGCTTCATGTATGCTAGATGAAGCTGAATTTTTACAATAATCTTTTCTCTTACTGCAATGTGGTGGTAGACAAATTTGAATTAAAACTGCAGATTCACTCCGTAAATTCTGCTACTAAGCTTAGAACAAATTTCTTTCATACAGTTTGAGAGGTTGCAATAATTTACCGACTCATTTATAGTTAAAATAACATATCTACCTAACACTAAATATGTAGAAATTGAATAATATCTTTCTTTGTGAGTAGATTATTTTTGATTGCTACTGTTTTATTTACTTCATAGCAAGCAATGTATATATTTATTGATAGTCAAAGTAGCTATTTACTTTTATGTTTAACCATTTTTATTTTCTGGTCATTATAGAAGTCTTATTTTGTTAGCTTTATTTACGTCATAGATTATATTTTTGAATATTTTATATATATTTACTACAGTTCATATTAGTCATTGAGTTCCATATTTTGATTAAGAGTTATGAAAACTTTTTGAAGTTTTCTAAATTTGTAATTTTATATGTGGTAAAACTTTTATTGATATTTAATATCATTTTCTGTGTTTTTCTAATTTGTTATTTTACTTCACATGCTATTTCTTATCAATTAATTTAAAGTGATGGATTTACTTTTGTACTTCTTCTCTATTTATATTGTAAGTTTTTAAGACATAAAATCATGAAATAATAGTACAATCAATGTATTACAATTTATGCATTTAGTAGAATTTGTTTAGTGATTGAGAATTGATTAGATCTAGGAGAGCTGTTGTTGCATTTTACCATCTGCTTTTTTTATGGCAACTTAACTTAATTGAGCGATCAGTGACTTTTAAATGTTAGATTTTAGAGCAAATGCATTGAATGTGCTTTTCATTTATTTTTTTTTTGTAACAAAAATGTATAGTTCATTTATAAAATGAAAACTGGGAATTGAAAAAAAAAATGGCAAGATGTGTTTGATTAAAATGCCTGTCTTTAATTAAAATGTCTGCCTCAATTTTATGAAGCGAAATTTGAAATTTTATCTAAACAAAGTATTTATTTTCTGCTTTAAACCTCATTTAAAATTTTGAAAATTTTAATTTGCTGTTCTCACCCCCCCCCCCCAAAAAAAAATTATCCCCATTTTCTTTGGCAAAAATAAAATCTAATTCAACTTTATAAAAAATATATCTTTTAAGTTCTTTCATTTTCTAGTAATATTCAACAGTAAATTTTGAAAACTAGTTTTAAGTTCAATTTTGCATGCAAATTTATATATTAAACATTAAAATAGTAAAAAGCATCTGCTGTTATATAGTTTGTAAGCTTTACTATTTATAAACATGAAGTGTTAATTACTGTGTTTAATTGAATTCAAGTATCTAAGCTTGCATAATTTTATCTTACTTGATTTTAAATTTGGCATTCTTAAAAAAAAAGTAGAAACAAAACTCCCAGAGTTCTGCTCTTGTATCTAGTTTATACGAATAAATTTTATGAATTTTTATTCTCTCTCTTGTCTTGAGAATACTTGAATTCTATTTATTTCAATTTCACACTGCATTTCTTATTGATCCAAAAGTGATTCACAAAAACTTGCATTTATTGATGTAAGATTGAAAAAAAAAATGATTATAGATCAGTATTATCTAATAAAATTTGTATAATGCTATTGTCCCTCATTCATAGTATCAATCTTTGTACTTTTTCAATGATTTTTTATAAATATTTTACATAAAAATTTGAAGGTAATGAAATTTTATATAAACAAATTTTTTTGTATAGATTGCATTCTTATCATGCTTTCTGATGCAAATTTGAAAGAAATTTTAAAGTATTGTACTACACTTTAATGTATTACTTCAAAAGTGTCTAAATAAAACTTTTAAAATTATTAGAATGTATCTATTTATTGTTTCTGCTTTTCCTTTCTGATATTTTTTGTGTTTAGATAAATATTTTAGATAAATAAAAATCAGGTTTGCCAATTGTCTCTACATTAAGTTTTAACATATTGACTTGGAAAATGTTTCTTAATATAAATATTTTTTAAAAAGATATTGCAAAGATTGTGTTTATAAGAAGAAAAAAACTAAAATAAAATTAGACTAACCATTTCAAAATTACATAATGACAGTAATAATTCAGTTAACTGTGTAACTAATTATTTTACATAAAAAAAAATTGAATACCATTATTAAGCCTCATATTCATATGAGATATTATTTTGAAAAAATAGTTCACATTTATATATATTTATTTTTTTCATGTCATAAATTCTTTATTCTAATAAATCAAAGCACGAGCAAATATTTACAGTAATTTTTATGCACATTTTCTGCGTTGAATACCAGTGTTAGTTTTTCATTTACATTAAATCAAACCAAGACTCTCCTCAGAAAATGTTGAGGTGCGGTTTCGATTATTAAAATTTTTCGAGATGTTTAAATGCTGTCATTTTTACCTATGCATGTTTATATTGGTCGATTTTTTTCTTTTCTTTTTTTTTGTATAAAATAAGTTATAAAGGAATTATTCTTTATGGTGATTTCTGAATTTAGTAAATAAATTGAGATTTATCAAGCAAGCTTCAAATATTTCATTCAAAAGAAAAGTTGTTGAATAAACTTTATTATTTTTGATAAAATTCTTTATTAGATGTTTTTTCTTTCCTTGTAATTTTTTGTTAAGTTTTGAAAAGATTAATTTATATAAATGTTGATTCTTAAAACTTATTGTAGTTATTGTAACCATTTTTTATTCAGATACCAACTATATTGTAATAAAACGTTGTTCTATTATTGATTTATTACTCATTTACACTTTATTATAATATACTTATAATGATAAATATTTTATTTACTCTGTATCACAATAACGTTGATAAAAAATATTTCATTTTTTGAAATATACTTTTTAATTTGTTAATGTAAATTTCAATTAATTTAATTTTTCTATGTTATTAATTTCAAGCTCAAAGTTTTAAAGTAATGTATCATTTAGAAAGTATTAAACTAATGTATCATAAAGTAATGTATCATTTGTATTGATTTCAAATTTTTCTGCAGTTTAGAAATTTTATTAGTCAATATTATATAATTATTTTATAATGTTATTGCCTTTCAGATATAATATTATAAGCTGATGCATAATTTACAAATCAGGTATTTAAATTGATTTCAAAACTTTTATTAAGATGTAAAAAAATTATGTATTATGTCAAATTATATTTAATGATTTTGACTTAACATAATATCATTTTTTCATGCATTTGATTGTTAAAAATTACATTGTTTGACTGCATGAAATGTTATCACAATCTTCAAAGCTATATTTTAATTAAGAAATAGTTGTAAAAGTAGTTAATCATTCTAATTAAATATCTTATTTAGTGTCTAGTGTCTCCAGAAATGAAATATACTAGTAAATATATATATATTTTAATTTGTATAAAAAAAAATTATAAATTATTTTTGTAATTATTGTTTTAATGTGTTTGTTAGTAAGTGGAATGCATTTTATACATATTCAATAGTTGATTGAACTTAAATCTGAAGCTGAATGTTGGCATTCTTAAACATAATATATAAAAGCTAGATAAAGAATTCATAATGATTAAGATCATTTAGTACTTTTTTGAGCAAAAAATGAAATTTGAAACTCTTGTTTTTAATGTTAAAATATATCTGGTTTTAATTGCTGTATTAACATGTATTTGTATGTATTATGTTGTGGTTGTGTATCATAATTGTTGAGTGTTTGATTTTTTTGTTTTAATGTTTAATCAATCACACATTTTCTTTAATTTGTAATGCTTAAAGAAAGAAAAATAATGATTTTTAATTGAAAAATTGTCTA